CTATGAAAAATACACGAATGACGCATCTTTTTCGGCGAAACTGTCTCTGATCGCCTTATTAGAACATTCTCTATACGTAGAAAAAGTTATTTATGCTAACTGATATTTCTTCATTCGATATATTGCTGTTACGTACTCAATAAAAAAATTGTATTGCATAATGAAAATTTAATAGTTACCATGTGCCCGATTTCTGCCGAAATATTTATTTTACAACGAGACAGAATATTTGGAATAGAGTACTTCTTCTGAACTTCTCCTGCTGAAATCTTTCTTAAATGCAAAACTCTATCTCTCTCTTTCTCTCTCAGAATATATCAGTTACATTCGTATTAATAGCTTAAATAGCAGGATAATGTATTTTCTGGTAGAAATGTACGCAGTTTGTGTAGACATCTGCCCAATTATAAGTATTAATGTATTTTTATTGGTTGCAAAAATACTAGTAACTAGCAAGAATTTGATAAAGTTTTATTCGGTGTTGAAGCAGTTTAACGTACAATATGTGGGCCAATTCTTTCAAAGCATAGTAATATTAATTCAACAAAAGACAAATGAGGTATATGTTAATAATACAGAATCTCATTGCGATGAGAGAACACCAGACTATTTTGATAGTAGTGATACAAATAACAACTATCATGATAGTTCAGATTCAGAACCTCTGATGAAATAATACAACTACAAAAAAAAATAAATATATGTTATTTAGTAGTTGCGAAAAAGACGTTACGTAAAAGGCGAAAATATATATTACGCACCGAAGATTTCCTGGACTATAACCCGATTGTTCCTCTTAGTAGGTTACCTGACAGTTAGATCATATATCTGTTTTCGTTTTTTCTTCAAATTAATTTAAAATAAAGACAGACACATGATTTAACTGTCAGGTAGCTTACCAAGAGGTTGGAACAATCGGCCCTGTCATTAGCATCAATATTTTTCACAACCAAGCATCATGCACGAAAAATAAAATACTACTAGAGGAAACCTGCCCATTTTACGAACAGCAAACTTGATTATTAACCAATTAAATAGTTTTTATCCATTTCTTGTTCTGCTTTCGAGGGTTTAATGAATAGGTTCAGATATTATGGATTTATCATGTGCAATATTGCATGAAAAGCGTTAGTTTTCTTAACCTTTTGATTAGGGATCTCAAGCAGTTTTACTCTTCGATTGCTAAACAAAAGTTGGACATAGCTGTTCGATAGCTGTTCGGAAACTGCATCGAATTTCTCGAAACTGCATTTTCTCGAAAACTGCATCAAAACAAAGATAGAAACATTTTTCTCCATATATTTCGAGTTGGAAGGATTGTTCTTTTTTATTTCTTTCATTATAGCGATACGCACGGGACATAGATTGGTAATTCTAAATGCATTCGATCAGCCGAACGTTACGTGAAATAGAATGACCAATGCAATCGGACATTTATACATGGCGACCAATTTACGTGTCACGGTGAAATTCTGCCGGTTCGATTTCTTTCGCTTTTCACCGCCGTGAGTGACGCACACGCGATGCGTTATTACTAGCGACGTTTTGAAAACGGATAAAAAGATAGAAACAGTTCGTCCCGTCATCGAAGCGGAACGACAAAATTTCTACGCGGAGAGATAATTTCCTACATTACGAAACGCCGCTGGTTTCGCAGAGTTTTGTGTGTCACAGTACCGCGACACGATTGTATAATGAATCTGGAACGAGAAGAGAACCGATCATTTCGGTTTCAATTCGTCTCTATTCTTCCTCCCTCCCTCCTCTCTCTCTTCTTCCCCTCTCCCCTCTCTCTCTCTCTCTCTCTTTGGCCACGCAATATTCACGGTACTAACAAAGTTCGTCAGCGGAGAACGAAACAATATTAATAATCCGTGCCCGCTATAATTATTAATTTCATTTGCGCGCTCTATACGGCAATTTGTGCCCTCCGCCGTACGCCGTCTGCATAATTCCTCTTTCACGTAGTTTTATTAATTCCCGTCCGGTGGTTGCCGCTAATTGAGAAGAGAGAAAAACTCGATCTCGACTGTCGACCCTCTGTTTCGCGCGGATGTGATTTATGGGCGGTTAATTGTTATCTCACGGATATTCTTTCTCACAATTAGTCGATTCAATCACGGGGACACTACGGCGATTTTGCCACGTGCGTGCGTGACCGTATCGCGGCTTTCACGCCGAGGCTAGTTTACAGGTAGTCGCGATTGAAGTTTTACTCGGCATCGAGTTCACCGATTAAATATTAAAAAATGAATCAAAGGGAACTTTCATAATCTTTGGCAACGAAGTGGTTCGGCTACACGGAAACCGTACGGCGCTCTCGATCGACCACAGGACGTTTAGTCAGCTTTCAAGTGGGTCACTAGGCTGTGGCCCATTGGCACGCCTCTGATCCGGCGAATGCTCCTTCAACAAATTCCGGAAGTCCCGGTTCATGAAGTTTGGAACAGAGAGAAAGAGAGAGAGAGAAAGAGAGAGACGTCTACATAAGAAAATTCAATTTAATCGATATAATTAACTGTCGACGCATTGATTGATTGTTTAATTGCAATCGAGTGCATATGTAGTGCGAAATACTCGCACAAATATCTAAATTATGATATGAAGTATATAATCAGGAAGAAAGATAAGCATGAGATAAGAAGATAATTACAAACGAGTTGGCATTTATATACATATATATTTGTGATATGTCTGTGACATGACGCTCAATTAAAGATGTGAAATTATTTTCAGATTAAAAGTGACGATTACTTACGGTAAAATTATATTAAAATAGTAATTTATTGGTAATTTTAGTAAAAGTCGTTGTTCTTGATAGTTTTACACAAATATTCGTGTTTTCTCCATTAATGAATAAAGTAAAACAATATTCTTCTTATACTCTTATCAAATATACATCTGATAATCTCTGAAATGTCTCTCAGATGAAAGAAAGAAAACTATTTACAATCCTTCCAGAGTATTAAAGTTTTCATTTCTTAAAATACCACTAATTTTCAGCTACTTTCAGTTTACTATAATTTTCAATTATATGCTACATCCGCTAAAATAGTAAGATAATAAGTGAAAACGCTATAGCCTGTAAGATGATATAAGAAATATAGATTAAGACTATTTTTGAAGTATGAAAAATATAAGTTGAGACTTTAAAACGTTTTTTTAAGTTTCTATAGTTATCTAGTTTCCCAATTACTATAAGCTTAAACGTTACAATTATAATTAATACTTAAAACATATAAGGTAACTATCTCACAATTGAATTACTTTTTTTTTTGTATATTATAATACAATTTACAATATTCTATATGATGGTTACATGAAAGTGTGTACATGAAAAAAAGTGTATACATCACGTAGACAATACATAAACAACTCACATAAACGTAATCTTGAAATCGACGACACACCCTATGATATTAACGTCATAGAAACCGTCCCCGGCGAGGTAGCGAGCCACATAGCCGGAGTCCTATTTGACGGACGATTTAGCCGCATTTGGCCTACAACCGCTTATTGCTATGTTGCTTAGACAAAGAGAAACCGCTTAAATATAAACCGCTATTATTTTCTCGTCGTTAGTGCAATAGAGCTATTCATCTTTTAACTCTCTTTGTCGTACAATTTTCTCGAAAGGAGGTTAAAACAATCTCATTAATATAAGTACTCTGGTTTGTATCCCTTACTTGAAGTTTACATAGCTATGATGAGTATAATAAACGATTATCTGGCGATTATCTAATTGTAAAGAACCACATATTATCTTAATGCAAATAAAATATAAAATACTATATAATAATATCAATATAAAATATAATATAATTATAAAATACTATATAATAATATCAATATAAAATAATCATATTGTTCTTTCTTTCTGAAAAGTAAATTTATTAAAGTAAAATATATTTATTACAAAATAGATAATACATATCTTTCTAAAGCCCAAAGCAAAAATCCGATAAATTCTGTTTGAAGTCGATAAAGGAAGACAATTTTGTTATCCACTTGGTCGTTCCAAGTTTAGATTGCGAAAAGCTTGACTACTTCAATCGTTTGTATCTCAGGAATTATTGACGCCTCGATGTTTTAGCTGATGACAAATTGACTCTAAATTACTCAGAGAAACTGTCAGTATAAATTAAAGTCGCAAGAATTGAGCAAGAATTGAGCTTATATATTTTATAAAGCAAAATAAAAAAACGTGACCGTGTGTGCTGAATGCATGTCAGCAGTGGCTCTCAATTGTGACAACTCAAAGCACTATAACTTTATTCGATAAAAAGTGCGCAGACCATTTCGCGATCGAGCATTTAATTTTATTTAATTTTTATTGACATGATAAATTATGATTTTTATGTAACATGATAAAAAGGAAAGAAATTAGTTGAAGAAAGTTTTTTGTGTGGAAAACAATTATTTTGATTCCTTATTTTATCCCTTATATAAATCTTTGACGATTGATATTAATCTTGCATCTTCGGTGCAACGTACCGTACGATCCGTACGTTATCCGCGTACGATCGCCGGACAGATTTCATACGCGTGAAAGTGCAATTCTTAGAGACGTGACGTCAATAGGCGACGAAGAATCAATAGCACAGAATGCGCGAATATATTAATTGCTCACGAATGAGTACCTGATTATTCAGTCTTCCGATTATTCTCAATGAGCCAGTTTTTGTGTTTGAGATTTATTTCGGAGTTACATATCTTCACATTACATATCTTCACATTAATTAACGTACATCCTTGGTATTTCTTACTTAACCCGCAACCACCTGGCGGAAAAAAGCCGCGAGCTAGGACGCAGAATGCGTGCCAGTAGAGAAAATGCATGTAAGAAAGGTCGGAGCTTGACGGTCATCATTAATGTAACACGCAGAGCTTGAGACGAGTGAGCGAGTATCACCCGCGAGTCGCGCATCATGCCATTCATTTCGGACTCGATGGATCAAAGGAACGATCCATGGCACTGTTTCTTCCGGTTCTGCTTGCAGGATGCACGTGGCGAGAGGCGCTAGGCACGTGTGTGTTTCAGTCGGACTTCGGTTTCATGCTAAACTGCGCTTTCAAAAAGTCCGGCCTCTTCCGAGTGCGAAACCTCGGAGGTGTAAAGGGCTACGTCGGCCTGGGTGAGTTGAATTACGGGAGCGATCGCGAGCGCGTCCATCGCGTTCAAAGGTCGATCGATCTCACGTCGAAGATCGTGGAGAGAGAAGTGGACTTATGATGATCACGCGCGTGCGCGCGCGGACCGAATCGATCAGTAAACAAGTCGCACATTTAGGTGTTTAATTCATTAATATAATTACAGATATACTTTTTTTTCTTAAAATCGTATTTAGGAAACTGCGAGGTATCGAAAACAGACCACGACACACCGACATTTCAATTAAGAAATCGTGTAGGAAATAAATAAATATAAGTTTGAGGTATTATAAACTGTTGTTCATTTAATTAACACCCGGATTTCTTTATAATTCAGCACGTGTATGTCGTTCTTGTAATTAATGGGGAATTAATGATCCTTTCTTTTAGCCGGAATGCTTTCACCGTCGCATGCATTCCATTAGCACTTTCCTCAAGGTATTAATTATGTTCGATTGTCTGTGATTGTCTGTGATACACACTGGGTGAATTGCCCAAGTAATTTGCTACAAAAAGATTACGTTATGCAACAACTAACAAACTTGACAACAACTAAATGTTTCATTAGAAGATTTCCCAGGATGTCTATTTCATCTCGAGAAGAGATCAAGATTTATATCATCTGGTAATGAGATCACTGAATCAATACCCTCATCCTTATATATTATGTCACGTGCGGTTTTCTATAAACATATATATCGTATGGACTTTGTTCGAATACTTACACACATCTTCCACAATATTGCGAAACACGCTTTGTATATAGTCGTCAGAACCAGTAGCGATTTCTAAATTATTCATGACCTGCTTTGTATATAATTTTATGCGTAACTTTTAACATTTGCGCAAAAACTCTGTTCTTCAAATTCGTATCTTCAGCGGGAATTGAGAAACAAGATGATTTGTATAATCCAGAGAAAAAGTGCTCATACATCGGTACGTTGTTCGGGCCAATGAATACGTTTACTGTGTCGGAGTGTATGTTGAGTCGCGTGCGATCGTTGCACAAGTAAGTACGCTTAAACGAAAAAGATGTGATAAGCGTGTCGAAGAAACATAATATTTACGATTTCATAACAGACACGGCAGCAAACAGAACGCATACAATTTTATTTGCCATTTCCTATTTCCCGTAGTCATTACGAATGTTAGGAAAGAAAAAGAGAAGAAAGGAGAAAGACACGCGATGTCATTTTGCGTTTTTCTCAGTAAACGATCAAAATTTACTGTTTTAAGATAGTTGTATCACTGAGTACCGTATTTTCAATGGCGCATCAAAGAAACTTACGTGTACTATCAAGTTTATTATTTATCAAACAAAATTTGATAAATAATTATTTACATATTTATTTACAAAATTTTACCAAATTTTATATATTTATTTAATATATACACAATATCAAAAATAAAAAATTATTATTTTTATTTGTCTAATAAGTGCTTTATCTATACGTCACTTTATCTAATAGAAATGTACAAATAATAAAGAGGTATACGAATATTTAAATATGTATGTATGTGTATATTTTGCATGTGTATACGAATATTATAGTATATTGTATGTGTACATAAATATTTAAATATGTATGTATGTATATTTTATGTTATGTATATTAATATGTATAAATATATCAAGATAAATTATAAAGTTTCCACGTCTGTAGTTTGAAAATAATTCTAATATTTGCGTATAATGGCTGCATATTAGCTTTTAATATCAAAGTAGTCTTCATTAAAATCTCACGTGTGGAAAATATAAAAAAACTTCTTGTCTCAAGGAATATGTATAAAAGATATCAACTTTAGTTTTCTCGAATTTTAGTTCTCTCGAATGGTCATTCTTTCTCTAATTGCACGCTGATTTTTTTTAATAGCAATTAAGTAATATTTTACTGTGTATATAGCGCAAGTTTCGTCATATTCTCACGAAATTTGTCTCATGTTACAACTACCTTAAAGTACAAACAAAAGAAAGAAGATCCTTTAATAATTATTCTTGAGTTTCTTTTAATTCTGCAACTCTTTCTCAACTTTCCACGTTCGTTGTTAATTGCCACATTAAAAGTCGGTGTGCTACGTGATCCGAGTAATTATTACCATGTGAGCGTATATTTGTCTCGACGAGAAAACATAGAAATAATGTGATACGCAATTTCGTTTAACCTATGCGTGCTGTGCTACCCTCCGACCGAATTTTGCCATGGCTGGTTTTTTTTTTGTTTGTTTGCGCATGTTTACGAGACACTGATGATTTATTCATTACCTTGGCCTAGCTCAGTTGTTAACGGAACGTTCATTGAACACTGTCATAAAGAAAGATACTTCTTTGACGAGGACACAATTTACATTTTACGTGTGCAGCAAAAGAGCAAAGATACCGGTTATGGAAAAATGCATAAAGAGGGCTTCAAGTGGCGCAATGCCTTTTGCATAATAACTATTGACTTTAGGACGACTTGACGGTATGGCTACTGTTTTATTGTCTTCCTCTCACGGCAACAATCGTGTTAATGTGCCGCTGTGCGTTTCCTTCCTCGAAATTTGACAAGAATAATATTGACTCGTATAAGAAACCTAAATATACATTAGAGATAGGATCAATTTCGCGGAAAGTACAGAGAGAATATAGGATTGTAAAAACAAATAATGGTGTATGTGTGTGTGTGTATAGATGTTAAATTATGTAAAAAAACGTGAAATATAATTACAGAAACAAAATACGTTAGAGTTGAAATGGCGAGAAGAAAGTTGCTAAATCGGAAATGATTCTAAAGGTTGCAATTTCTGTGGACTCTAACACTGTGACCCTGTTAGCAACTAAATATACATCGCAGTGCACGCGTCCCGACAAATTTCTAGAAAGCTTCTCCGTTAAAGCCGCCTTATTCTCTTTGTAGATTAATAAAATTCACGGCTTGTTTTCTTCCACGTCGTTTTCACCACAAATATAATCTGTCTCCGCCTAGATGATGCGACCAATTAAAACTGAATAATTTAAAACTCTCATACTTTCCACAGGATTCTCCGTTGGAGACGAGCTGGGTTTCACCCAATCACTCTCCAACCTGGAGGCCGCGAAAAGAAGAAGCGTGCAATCGAACAGAGCTAACGGGCTCGCGTTTAATCCTTCGAATACGGTAAGTAGAAATCTGCGAAACGACAGGAACATCGTTCGTATCGGTCGCCATTTATACCCTCGCTCAATTATTTATCAAAGTAAAAATTCAAAAATACAAAAAAAATTTATATATATATATATATATATATATATATATATATATATATACACACACA